GCTATACTTAAGCTATAGTCTAAGGTTTAAAAAAAAACCAGTACTGTATTTGTTTAAGAGAAAATTCTTCTCGTTCTAGTCTAACCATCAGTGACCACACTACTTTGTTCTTTTGACTTAAGCTTCAAATTGGTGAAATTAAATTTGTTCTATCACACAGAGGGACACTCTCTAGGAAACAGGAAGCGAAGCAGGAGCCAGTATAACTAATATTAATGTTAGAATTAGATTTCTGGACAAGCAAGGATGTTTACAGATATATATCTATCATTTTCATAACCAGAGTGAAGGTACTACAGGTTGCAGAATTAGGTGTGAAAGCCACTTTAGCTGATAAAGTGTCATTATTATTAGCTGTCAACATTAGCTATCTGAATAGAGCTTAGAAAAGCCAGGCAAGGCAATGCCTCACTGTTATTTCATTACAGAAACTACCAGACTGGCTAAAGCATTTCTCACCTGGGCTACTACAAAAGTCTCCTAACTGGTCTTCAACTTCAGTCTCAGACTTCCAACAAAACCTATGTTCCCACACAGCTACCAGCCCCTCCTACCAAGCAGAAATGTGACCAGGACTTCTGTATAAATTCCATAATAGTTCCCCAGGAAACAGGGTAAAACCTGGGCTCTGTCGCACAGAATAGAAAGGCCCTTTTGACCAGGTGTCTGTGGCGGACTCTGCCTCGCTGCTGACTGGAGTCCCATCCGGACAGCGTACGGCCACTTCCAGCCTCTGCTTTCCAATCGCACAGTTGCACTCACATCACCAGCATGCTCCGGCCCTTCCTGCGGCTCAGCCACTGAGACCAGCTCTGTCTTTCTTTTCTTTCTTTCTTTCTTTTTTCTTTTTTTGGTACTGGGAACTGAACCCAGGGCCTCACACTTGCCAGGCAGCGTTGTGCCACTGAGCTACATCCCAGCCCCTGAAACCAGCTCTTTTTCAGACTTGGAACTCAAGTCTAGAAAAGTCAAGTCAGCGCTTGGCTGCTGTTCAGTTACTCACCCTTCAGTCTTCAGCTTTATGCTCACTTCCTTGGCAAGTCTTCTCAAACACCCCCGATTAGACAGACCACTCTCCCTAGCCCTGTGTCACTTGGCATAGTCTATAATGATACACTATGGAATTGCTTTTGATTGGCATCATGAGGAAGGAACATCATCAGCTTTGCTATCACTGTATTTCTGATGACTCAGTGCATACCAATATATATTAGCAGGCAAGCAAAAAGATTTGGTCACATCATAAAAGTTGTTACGGGATTATAGCAAACTAAAATACCTCTGTATAGCAAAGGAAACAATTACCAGAGTGAGAACACCTGCAGAATGGGAGAAAAATATTCATCCAATAAGGGATTAGTATTCAGCACACATAAGGAACTCAAAAGCAAAAAGATTCATAATCCAATTAAAAATGGGCCAATGACCTGAACAGACCTTTCTCTGAAGACATAAACTGGGCCAACAAGCATTTGAAAACATGCTCAATGCTGCTAATCACCAGATAAATGCAAATCAAAATCACAATGAGGTATCAGTTTACTCCAGTCAGAATGGTTATTAACAAAAAGTCAAAAATAAATGTTAGCCTGGTATGGTAGGGCACACCAGTAATCTCAGCACTCAGGAGGCTGAGGCAGGAAGACTGCTGCAAATTCGAGGCCAGCCTAGGTTACAAAGAGTGCTCAAGGCAGTCCGAACTTCATGTTGAGACCTTGTCTCAAGAAAAGACAATTAATTAATTAATTAATTAAATGCCAAAGAAGATATGGGGAAAGAGAAACTCGTATTATTGGTAGAAATGTAAGGGTTTTTTTGTTTTGTTTTGAGAAAAGGTCTCAATATGCAGGTTAGGCTGGCCTTGAACTCCCTATGTAGCCCAGGCTGGCCTCAAACTCATAGTAATTCTCCTGCCTTAGCCTCCCCAGTGCTGAAATTACAGGCATGTGCCACCACGCCCAGGCAGAAATCTAAGTTAATAGCCATTATAGAGAACTGTACCAGGGTGCCTCAAAAAAAAAAAAAAAAAAAAACAGAACTAATGTGTAACCTAGGAATCTCACCACTGGATATGTAGCCCAAGGAAAGGAAAGTATGTCAGAGAAATCTACATTCTCATGTTTATTACAGCACTCTTCACAAAATCCTAAAAATGGAAATAATCCAAAAATCCATCAACATATGAATAAAGAAAATGTGATCCTTTACCTAATCCAGTTGAAGTACATTTTCAATCAAAAACCTACCAAATATGCATCAGATCACTCCGTTAAATAAACTTTAAAGACATGGTTTCAACTCTGGTCTTCAAAGAACCCCACGTGAAATCTCTGTTCCTGCCCAACGCCCTCCGTACTGGATCAAAGCCAGGGCCACGTGCACTCTACCACAGAGCTACATCCCCAGGATCCTCAAATGAAATCTTTTTGTTCCCTGTTTACCAAAGACTGAACCCAGGGAGTACTGAACTACATCCCCAGCTCTTTTTAAATTTTGAGACAGGGTCTAAATTGCCTCAAACTTGAGATCCTCCTCCCTCATCCTCCTGAATGACTGAGATTACAAGAGAATATAGCCACCATCTTAATGTTAATAAAAGCAAAATCAGAAATAATATACAATAACATGCATAGGCTTTCAACTGTTTAATAAGCATGTCCTGTCTACAAATCTAAATTCTCCAAGATCTGACTTTTTTGTTTTCTCCAGTACTAGGAATTGAATAGACAGCCTTTGCCCTGAGTCACACACTCTTAGCCCCTTTTTGAAAAATAATTAATTTTGAAATGTAGCCGGGCGTGGTGGTGCACACTTATAATCCCAGCACTGTGGAGGCTGAGGCAGGAGGATCATTGTGAGTTTGAGACCAGCCTGGGCTACAAAGTGAGCTCAAGGCCAGCCTGAACTGCATAGCGAGACCTTGTCTCAAAAACACAAAAAATAAAAAATAACAATAAAAAATGTTGAGATAGGGTCTTGCTAAGTTGCTGAACTGCTCAGGCTATGTGCTGGAGCTCACTATCCTCCTGCCTCAGGCATCTGCCTTTTGGGGGAATTATAGGGCATGTGCCACCACGCCCTATTAAGATTAGATTCTTTATTAATATGAACTCAAATTTTCACTGATTATAAAACTCAAATTAAATGTGAGTTAAACATTTTAATGTACAAAACATCATTCTTTCATTTTGGCAAGATGTATCTTTTTTTTTTTTTTTGGTTTTTCTCCAGTACCGGGAACCGAACTCATGACCTTGCGCTTGCCAGGCAGGCGCTTTTGCCGCTGAGCTAAATCCCCAGCCCGGCAAGATGTATCTTTATCCCTGTTTGTATCTACTACCATCTATCAGAGCCACATTATCATACTAATTATGGTTAAATAAATGAATCCTTTAACCTTATTCTAAAATCCTCCCAGTTCATAATTCCTTATGCAATTTTAAAAACCAAAAATCTCTGAAAAGCAAAAAGTTCTTCCTTAAATTTGACACCAGGAGCCGGGCATGGTGGCGCATGCCTGTAATCCCAGCACTTGGGAGGCTGAGGCAGGAGGATCATTGCAAGTTCAAGGCCAGCCTGGGCTACAAAGTGAGCTCAAGGCCAGCCTGAACTGCATAGCGAGACCCTGCCTCAAAAAAGACAAAAAAAAAAAAAAAAAAAAAAAAAAAAAATTGACACCAGAACTAATTTAGTGAGTTCAACTTATATGAGAACATTTCTAGCCTTCACTTTGCTTTGTGTGACAAAAACCAGTAGTTTTTTAACTGGGGGCAATTTTGCTCCCCAAGGGATATCTGGAAATATCTGGGGACATTTTTGGTGGTCACACCAAGGAAGGTGATATTGACATCTAGTGTGTAAAAAGCCAGGAATGCTGCTAACATCCAGTAACACACAGGGAAAAATTACTGCGACCACAAATTATTTGGCCCAAAATGTCAACAACACTGAGATTGAGAAACCCAGGGCTAGACATACATTCTGATAAAGACACATCAGTATTACTAAGGCTGCCTCAGAGCCTTCTGAAGACATCACAGAATATATGGTGAAAAGATAGTATTACTACTCAAGAATCAGAAAAACTTAATTCTGAAGCAAGCTGGCCCCAGAGGTTGCAGATGGGACTGTGGCACCTACATTACTATTCATCAGATATTATGGCTACGGTTTAGGGAATGCTTTGTCCTCTAAAGGCTCCTGTGCCAAGACTGGTCCTCAGTTAACGGTACTGGAAGGTGGCTGGACCTTTAGGAGGCAGGACCTAGCAAGAAGGACAGGGTCATTGACAATGCTGGATCAGGGAGTGCGTCTGCTTCTGAGGGGCAGGTGGTTTTAAGAGTGAGCTGACCCTTCTCCACTCTCCTGCCTTTTCGCCCACACACGTACACATGTGCCCCTCCTGGTTCTCTGCCAGGTTGTGATGCTGCCAGGGTCATGGTGATGTACTTTCTTTTTCATGTGTGTGTGTGTGGTTTTTTTTGTTTTGTTTTGTTTTGAGACAGGGTCTCATTACGTAGTGCAGGCTGGCCTTGAACTCACTTATATAGCCCAGGCTGGCCTCAAATTCATGGTGATCCTCCTGCCTCAGCCTCCCAAGTGCTGGGATTACAGGTGTGCACCACAATGCCCCGTTATTGCATGTACTTTCTAACCACGAGAACTGTTAAATAAACCTCTTTTTAAAATAAAGTACCCAGGCCCAAATATTTTATAAAGCAACCAAGATTGAACGAAGATATCACAAATCCCATTAATATCAAGAAGCTATAAACTTCCTACAACAACCACTGAGAATAGTTAATGATCATTCAATTGGTCACTCATGTGAAAAAAAAAAAAAAAGAAGCTATAAACCATGACTTGGGATCTCAGAACATGCAGATGAGGGCAGCATCAACTGTATTCTTGGATCTCTGTGTGTTCTCTCAGTAAAAGATATGGATACCATACAATAATAAGCCAATACCAAGATTACTGAGACCACAAAAGTTATTTACCTTTCTCCGTGCCTGAGAATATGGAGATGATTTTATTCCTGGGCTTCTTCTCCTCTGGAACAGAGGGCAAAGGTTTCAAACTGTGATTGGCTGACAAAGGATCTTTGCCTCCAGTGCTAAAGATGGTACTGCTCATTCGCACGGGAGGCGCTGGGGGCTTGTCTTCCAGTTCTCCGTTATCAGACATGATTCAGACTTAGGAAATGGCCTGAAATAGAGGCAAGAACCCCAAAACACAGCATTAATAATGAGGTATAAAACAATATAGACAAGCACAAAATACTAACTATCCCTGCACACACAATTCCAAATTTAAAAATGTTTCCATTTAGAGTAACACTGGCACAATTTAGAAAACTCACTGAATGAGATGTAACAAATGTGATCTTTCTCAACCAGGGCAACTTCCCCTAACAAAGTTAGTACAGGGTCAGCAGTGGGAATGTGTGAAAAGTAGAGCAGAAAGCACAGTTACACTAACCTATCGAAAGCAATTTACCTAATCAACTGATTTGAGAGGCTGTTCAAAGAATAAAGGCAGACAACATGGTGTCTTAAGAGAAGAGAGCACATTCCAAAGAAGAGGATATCCCGAACCCAGAACTCACAGCCTCTCAGGTAGGTCCATCTGGAGGAGCAGAGATTGCTGCTTGGTTCCGAACTTCCATCAACCCTGTCTGATCACACACACCTCCCTGTGCCTGATCACAGCGGAGCCTCCACACAAACTCCCCTAAAAGAATGTGCCGCTGACGCAGGATTGCGTCTCTCTGAAAACACATTCTGATCTGCCCGGCTTCATCCCTCTCGAGTCGTGCCAACAGTCACACACAATATGATCACTCTGAGTACACAGGGCCAGGCGTGGTGGTGCACGCCTGTAATCCCAGCACTCGGGAGGCTGAGGTAGGAGGATGGTTCTGAATTCAAGACCAGCGTGGGCTACAAAGTGAGCTCAAGGCCAGTCTGAACTGCATAGCAAGACCCTGTCTCAAAAAGACAAAAATATAAATAAATAAATAAATAGTAGTACCTGAATAAAATAGTACCTGAAGAAAGACATAATTTGAAAAGAACTGAGGGATGAAGAGATTATTATATCTACTTGCACTCCAAGTCTTAATAGCTTTATTTTCCTAGACAGAGTTTGTTAGAAGCACCACCAGTGCTAGTACACTACTTATGCATACTTTATCTGCCAAAATGACAACTATTTTTGAGCCTATAAAAGAGGAAAAATGAGAGCTGGGGATATAGCTCAGTGGCACAAGCGCCTGCCTGGCAAGCACAAGGTCCTGAGTTCAATTACCAGTACAAAAAATAAAAAATAAAAAAGAGGAAAAATGAGAGAAGGTGCATAAGGAGAAAAAACCCAGGGTCTTGTATGGAAGTGCTCTATCCCTGAGTTATATCATCTCCAGTCCAGATGTTCAGGTCCTAAAGTGATCATACCACTAAGGCAGAAATTAAACCTACAGGCAGTCCCTTTCTTCTTAATCACCAGGTACAACAAAAAAGGCAGAGCCGGGCACAGTGGCACAAGCCTGTAATCCCAGCACTCAGAAGGCTGAGGCAGGAGGATCTCTGCGAGTTCGAGACCAGCGTGAGCTACAAAGTGAGGTCAAGGCCAGCCTGAACTACATAGTGAGACAGTGTCAAAAACACACATACAAGGGCTGGGGATTTAGCTCAGCAGCACAATGCCTGCCCAGCAAGTGCAAGGTCGCGAGTTCAATCTCCGGTGGGGAAGGGGGGACGGGACCAAAAACATACATACAAAAAGGCAGATAAAGTTAAAATGCTCAGATTCTAGTTACATCAGGAAAGCTCCCCATCTATGCATATCAAGTTAAAAATCAGGGTAATAAAGTTTCAAACTACATCTAAACACATTTTATAGAAGGAAATGCATCAAAATACTGTATTAACAGTGGTAATCTGTGGCTAATTAATAACTTAATTTAATCACTATCATTAGAGCTGTGGCTTTAAAAAAATATAGAGAGAGATTCCCTGTTTAAGGACCTACTCTGTTAATGACTATTCAAACTTCTGCTCGGTGCTCCAATTTACAACCTGTCCTGTTTTTTTGTACATCCTGTTTTTTCTCTACATCCTGTTTACAGAGCCTCAATGCCTTTTTTTTGCATGATACTATAATTTTTGCTGATTGTACTAGTACTGTAGTTTTATGTTGTTATAAATTACAGTTCTGCATGTAGGGGTTATATGAATAAAGAGCAAAGGTCATCAAGTTGGAGTGTTCTTTGACCATTTCTGTTCTCTGAATTTTGCAATATACATACTATATATATTTCCTCATTTAGCGACCAATTCATTTAACGATCCAGTTGTGGGAAGAAAACTTTGGATGTTAAATGAGGAATGTCTATACACTAAAACCACCTGCGCATACATTTTCAGCTAAGTCACATTGCTGTGAAAAAGTTAGAGCTACCTCATAAAGATTAAGACATAAAACAAATTTTGTCAACAAGATGCATAGACAGGGCCAGAAAGATGGTTCAGCGGCACAGCGCCTGCCTGGCAAGCACAAGGTCCTGAGTTTGATTCCCGGTACCAAAAAAAAAGATGCATAGACATAGGTCTGTCAGACCTACATTTATTTTTTAGACTTTCTATTGATGAATTATTAATTTTAACAATGAGTACTTAACAGGAAAAAAATAAATAAGTACTGAGTTTTTAATATTTATAGAATATTTATAAAAAAGTATCAAAAGCCAGGTATGGTAGTTCTTGCCTGTAATCCCAGCAAAAGAGAATCCTAATCAAGAAATCAAGAGCTGGGTGTGGTGACGCACACCTGTAATGCCAGTACTTGGGAAGCTGAGGCAGAAGGATTACTGTGAGTTCGAGGCCAGCCTGGTCTATATAGTGAACTCAACACCAGCCTGAACTATACAGCAAGACCCTGTCTCAAAAAAAAATAAATAAATTAAAAATTTAAAAAAAAAAAAAATCAAGGTTTTCAACATAGACTGGCTTTTGGAGTACAAAATCTAAAAAAGAACATCAGAAAAAAAATTTTAAAAAGAACATCAGAAATAAATTCCTATATGAACTACAATGAAAATACCAACAGCATTCTACAAAAAAAAAAAAAAATCTTTACAATACTTCAATTATCACACCAAAGGCAATCTGCAGACATGTCAACAGCATGTTGCGTACACACGCATCACTTACACTGATAGCATGTCTTTTGCTTTCCTGGTCTTTTTGTAGGGCATACTTGACATCTCAGTGGTCTTGCTGTTTTGTCAGGAACACAAAATATCAACAGAATAATTTTTTTTTTTTTTTTTGTCTTTTTGGGACAGGGTCTCACTATGCAGTTCAGAGTGGACTGGAGCTCACTTTGTAGCCCAGGTTGACCTCAAACTCACAATGATCCTCCTGCCTCAGCCTCCCGAGTGCTGGGATTACAGGGATTCACCACCACGCCCAGCCATGGTGAACTGTTGACATCAGCAGTTACTGGTTTGTTTTTCTTTGTCATATGAGGCCATTGTTACATCTTTCTGAAATCCAAATATTGCACTATACAATTCTCTGTTTTGAAATTACATTTCATTTGGAATTTTTGCTTTGTTCCTGTGCTGATCAACTTGTGCTGTTAGCAAATGTAGCATCAGTTGGAAACTCGTAAATCAATTGGTAAATGTCACATTCTGCTTAGTTTAGGAGATGGTGCAACAAGTCTGTCCACAACATCATTTGGTTTATTATTATGCAAATAAGGACCTGAAGGCTGAGTTCCAAGATAAATGTCTAAACTGAAAGCAAAAGTCTTCGCATCTATAAGAACATACATTTTTATGCCCTATTCTGATCCATCACTTTTGTCTTTTACATTCCTGTGATCAACATTAAGAAATCTGTGCTAAACACAGCAGATCTACAAATGCTTTAGTTCAAAATGCTTTTAGTTCAGCTAATGACGTGTCATAATGAATACATTTTTGAATATGGCTAGTGGTGCACACAGAACGTTTTACTTGCATTTCAGCCCTTGTGTGTATTCACAGCATTTTGTAGCATTTCATCTGTTACAATTTCAACACTGAATGGCAGCAGTGCTGGTATTGTCCCATAGGTTTCACCCCTGCCAAGACCTTCACTGTATTTTGGGACATAGTTCTAATATTGGACTGTTTCATTTGGTTGCATAGCCAGTTTGCAATATTTCGACTGGTCAAATATATACTCACACTGCTGTTTTCTCTGTCATCTGAATCAAGGAGGGCTGCATTCCCTGTGTCTGTATCAGTCTTTTTTTTGTTACTGTTGTTTTGTTTTGTTTTTTTTGAGACAGGGTCTCCCTATGTAGTTCAGGCTGGCCTTGAACTCACATTGCGTCCCAGACTGGCTTCAAACTCTCAGTGATCTTCCTGCCTCAGCCTCCTGAGTGCTGGGATTACAGGTGTGTGCCACCATGACGGGCCAGGTGGACTCAATGTCTCTGTCAAAGTCATCATTTTCTCGTCTCATCATCATCATCATCATCATCATGATATCATCATCACTATCCACCCACATCACTCTTTTGTATCTACAATAGATCATCATCATCATCCATGCATGAGTAATCTGATGATTCACTTTTGACCTCCTCCAAAACTTGCAAATCTAATTTTTCATGTGCCATTGTACTGAACTGAGTTACTTCTACCCAAAACATTGTAACAAATCTTGGAGTGGTGTAGGTCTATTGGACCCTCTGTGACGCTTGGGTAAACATACGTAACACCAGTTAGCCAGAGCGTAATGTAGGGAAAAATCCTGTTTTGTCCCTTTTGCACAAGTGCACACCCCTTACAACACACCAAGTGTGTAAACACATGGGCTGCTTCCTGTATCCCTCTGGGAAAGGTATCAGATGTACTGCTGGCTAAAATAATGATAAAGTACAAGTTTACCATAGAAAAGTAAGGGATGGGTCCAATGGACCCAGATTTACGCCCCTCATTAAATGAGCTAATAATAAAGATAAAAAGCTGCTATTATTGTTATCATTATTTGTAAGATCCTACTGTAGACACTGGAGAAAATAAAAATGACCTAGGTCAGTGCTGCTAAGCCTTGTAGAGACAAGTGCCCAAATGCAACCCAAAACTCGCTTATTTACTACAAAGTGCCAGCACTGCAATTAAACCTGAACAATGAAGTTTTACGTTAGAAAAT